AGACAAAAGAGGAAGAGAAAGGAATATAAGCATAGCTCTAAAGAAACCGCAAGGGGAGCGATCAAGAGAAGAAAGGAGCAAGATGAACTACAAAAACAGCCAGAAAACAATGAACAAAATGGCAGTAAGCACATACCTATCAATAATTACTTTAAATGTAAGTGGACTGAATTCTCCAATAAAAAAATAGAGTAGGTGAATGGATAAAAAATAATCTATATGTTGCCTAGAAGAGACTCACTTTAGGTGTAAGGACACACTCAGGCTGAAAGTGAAGGGATGGAAAAAGGTATCCCATGCAAACAGAAACCAAAAGAAAGCCGGAATAGCTATGCATCAGTATGTATCGGACAAGACGGACTTTAAAACAAGACGGTAATAAGAAAGAAGGATGGGAATTACATAATGAGGAAGAGGTCAATCCAACAAGAGATAATATTTGAAAATAATTATTCGCTCAACATAGGAGCACCTAAATGTATAAAGCAAGTATTAACAGACCTAAAGGGAGAAATAAACAGCAATGCAATAATAGTAGGGGACTTTAATACCCTACTTGTATCAATGTCCATACAGAAAATCAATATGGGAAGACCGCCTTTAAAGAACACATTGGATCAGATGGACTTCACAGGTATTTACAGAACATTTCATCCAGAAACAACAGCATGAACATTCTTCTCAAGTGCACATGGAACATTCTCCAAGACAGATATGTTAGGCCACAAAACAAGTCTTAGAAATTTAAGAGGATTTAAATCATATCGAGCATCTCTTCTGACCACAGTGGTATGAAACTAGAAATTAATTACACAAAGAAAACTGGGAAATTCAGCAATATGTGGGAATTAAACAATGCTCTACTGAACAACCAATGGGTCAAAGAAAAAATAAAACAATACCATGCAAATGCAAATGGAAATGTAACAAAGCCCATGCTTTATATGATGAAGCCTACGTCTTACTGTTACAGTGAATGTAACTGGACAAGAATTCATGATGTTAAGAGTTTGGCACACTTGAAGAAGTGGGTTGGAATGGGTGGCATACATTTAAGAAATTCATATGTGACATGATGGATAAAGTGTAGGCTATGGAGTCAGAGAGATCTGTGTTTGAATCCCAGCTCTAATTGCCAGTTGTGCGACCATTAGCCAGTTAGCTCACACTCTGAGCTTTATTGACTCACTTGTGAAATGGATAAAAAGATCTTAACCTCACAAATTTGAAGTGAATATTAAATTATGTAACACTAATAAAGTTCCTGGCACATCAACAAATATTGGTTATCTTCTTCTATAAAAATTTTCTCTATGAAGCAGAGCAGCGATAGAACAGGGGTCAACAAGGGTCTCTTATTTGCTGGAGAATAAGGAAGGCACACACCTCATTTGTGCAGGTAGCCCTTGTAAACGATCACAGCTCAAGGATTGCCTAATTTAAGAAGACTTCTCTGTGAGTTAAGGTTCTTCTAAGCTCCGACAGAATTCTGTTCCCTCTGTCTTAGCCCTCAACATACTGCGTTGAAGGTCTATCTTTTTACATGTCTATTGTTCTCCCTAGATAATAAGTAAGCTCCCTGCTTATTACAATTATCTGGTGTAAGGTAGATGCTCAATAACTTTTTGCTGAATGGAGGAACGGAGGAAAGAATAGTTGCATCCCAGTAACGGTGATCAGATTAAAATCGGATTTATAGTATTTTCTTACCTTGACGGCATAGTTATTAAGTGGATCTTTTGCATATGAGGCTGTGTAGTAAACTGCATCACCTGCCTCACAACATGGCTTGTCACTGGTTAGCCTGAAGTCTGACCAGCTGTCCACCCCAAAACGGAGCTGGTCTTTCTGTCCAGCCATGAAAAGGTCTTCACATTTAACAGTCAGTTTCTTCAAGGCGTCGGTATGAAGGCTTCGGATTTTACCCACCACTTCTTCCCGATTCTCAAGTCCTCGATAAAGTGCTTGTCTCTGTGGCTTCTGGGTGCCCCGGCCCTGTCTGCAAGAGGGACCACGCCGGCTGGACAGGGACTCCGTGCTGTTGGAAAATCTATCCTTAATACTGAGAGTGGTCAAGCTGGAGGCGCTGTTTGCTGCTGAGGGGACAGGTCTCTCCTTGTGCAAAGGTCTCTCCAAGGAGTCATAAGGCTCAATGTCCAATCCCTTGAGTTCATAACTGATGGAAGAGCCAGCACTGCTGGCATCCCAGTTGGGGTCGATTTCATAGGTGGGATTAGCCATGACACAAAGACTTGTTTCCATGGATTTCTGGAGGTCTCTGGAGATGGGTTCTGTATTGGCTCGGATGATCATTTTCTTTGGCAGTGGGGGCGGTGTAGGTTGGGAAGCATTAGGTGCTTCTTGGTCTGTTTTCCCACCAAAGGCAATGGCATCATCCAAAGCTCCTTTAGGCTGCCGTGGATGCTTGGGAGGTATCATGGCTGCTCTAGATTGCCCTGTATTTTTTAAAAGAGAAAGAGAGAGAAAAAGAGAAGTAAAACTAAGCAAAGTATTCATTCTTGTTACATAATTGAAATTTAAGAAGAAATAAGTGAGGTGAACATGATAATGTAAGAAGTCAATGCCTTGAATTCAAAATGGTAGTAGAAAACAACCAAAGGATTGGTTAGCATTAAAGGAAAGAGTCTAAGACTTGGTGGGAGCAACACATGCGAACAAGGCCTGAGCATGTCTGTGCCAGAGGAACAGGATGACGGGGTCTGTTTTTAAAAGGAATCCAGATTCGCTACTCCTGCTGTATTTCCCTAGAATACTACGGGGTTACAGACACTCACATGCCCTGTGGCAGGGCAGAGATGACAGCATTTGTAAATAATGAAATACCTGGAAGCATTATTAAATACAGTTGAAACTAGCAATGTGACCACTAGACTTGCGCTCAGAAGCTACTATTCTGTTCTTTTACTTTGTTGCAAAGTTAAGTTGTATTGTATATAATAGCATTTGTAATTTTGTATCTAACACGTATCAGTACAATTTCATAAACCATGTTATTTTATTCCAGTACAGAGATGGATTCTGACACTGCTTAAACTGGGCTATGTATAAGATTCCTGTGATTGTGGCGGGGGAAAAGTGTATGTGAGCAGTCAACTGCTGTCCCAAACTTCAGTAATATGAGTCTGTTTTACTTTGGGGTGCGTATAAACTGTGATTTGAGAGATGCTTTGTTTGAACATCTCTTTCAAGACCTAGTCATAGAGCCAATCTCTGCCTCCTTTCCAGCATTTATGCTTGTTAAGAAGATAAAATACACAGTGTGTGATCACTGACACCTTCTGGGGAGAGACATTTTTTATTTTAAAGATTGAGAAATACACAATAAACTTTTATAAAAGCTATTAAAATATCTCAAAGCTAGAGAATAATGATCTGTTATGGGTTAATATGTCCCATCCTCAAAATGTTGACGCCTTAACCCCTGGTACCTGTGAGTGTGACCTTATTTGGAAGTAGAGTCTTGTAGAGGTAATTAAGATGAGGTCATTAGGATGGGCCCTAATCCAGTATGACTGGTGTCCTCCTAAGAAGAGGAAAATGTCGTATGAAAACAGACACACAGGGAGAACACCATGATGTAAGTAGAGACTGCAGTAATGCAGTTAAGGCGAGGATGCTGAGGATTCATGGCTACCCCCAGATTCCAGAAGGAAGTAAGGATTCCACCCAGAATCACAGAGGGAACATGACCTTGTAGTAATGTGAAGGGTATGCACAAATATAAATTATGATTGTGATAACAATATATTCCATTTCCCATGTGTAGAACTCTCTTTAAAGATACATAACAGTTTATACAAACTATGACAATATATACAGCAAACCTAAGGACCCCCTTTCTCCAACAATGGCATGCAGCAATTTTTTTTTCAAGGAATAGAGCTACATTACATACAAATTAAACAAAAATATGTATATAGAGACAGCATTTAAGAATGAGAGAGAGAGAAAGCATATAAGAATGCTAATCTCCAAGAGGGCTAGGACTTGTATTTACTTATCTGTTATGCCAAGAACAGGACCTGGATATAATAGATGGTCAAATATTTCTTGAATGACTATAGAATATATATATATTTAGGGTTGAAAGAGAAAAAGTGGTAAAATTGTATAGGTAAAGGAAAGATACACAATCAGTAATTTAAAAACTCCCAGAAAGAAAAGTCCAAGACTATCTGGTCTCATTGATGAATTCTACCAAATGTTCAAAGAATTATTAACACCTATCCTTCAAAAACTCTTCCAAAAAATACAAGGTTAGGAAACACTTCTCAACTTGAAATATTTGAGGCCAACATTACTTACATAACCAAAACCAGAGAAAGATATCACTCACACAAAAAAACTACAGACTAAAATCACCTAAAAATATAGACACAAAAATCCTTACAAAAATACCAGGAAACTGAATCCAATAACGCGTTACACACCATGAAAAACTTGGATTTATCCCAGGAATGCAAGGTTTCCTTAGCACCTGAAAGTAAATTCACATAATAAGCCATGAAAACAGAATAAAGAGGAAAAAAGTCCTCATGTGATCACCTCAGTAGATGCAGAAAAAGCATTTGATAAAATCCAACATCTTTTCATAATAAGAACACTGAACAACTAGGAAGCGAAGGGAATATGCTCGACTGATGAAGGGCGCCTATGAAAGACCAAGAGCTAACGTCACACTTAATGGTGAAAGACGGGATGCTTCCCCTTGAAGATCAGGGACAACACAAGGGTTTCTGTTCTTGTCATTTCTGTTCTACATTATACTGGAGGACCTAGTCAGGGAAATCAGGAAAGAAAAAGGAATAAAAACACCCAGATTGGAAAGGAAGTAAAACTATATTCATAGGTGACATAATTTTATATATAGAAGAGCCTGAGGAACCCACATATAAGCTGTACTGCAAAGCTACAGTGATCAAAATAGTACGGTCCTGGCACAAGCACAGACCCGTAGATCAATGGAACAAAACACAGAGACGAGAAATAAACACATATGTACTGAATGAACATATGACAAAAGAACATATGACAATGGGGAAAAGACAGTCTCTTCAATAAATGGTGTTGGGAAAACTGGACAGCTGCATGCAAAAGAATGAAACTGGATTACTGTCTAACTCCACACAAAAGTAAACTCAAATGGATTAAAGACATAAACATAAGACATGAAACCATAAAACTCTTTTAGAAGAGAACATAGGCAGACATCTCTTGAGCATAGGCATGAGCAATTTTTTCTGGACATGTTTCCTTGGGCAAATGAACAAGTGGGACCACATCAAAATAAAAAGCTTCTGTACAGCAAAGGACACCATCAACAAAACCAACGCAACCTATAGTATGGGAGAATATATTCATAAACGATTTATACAATAAGGGGTTAACATCCAAAGTATATAATGAACTGATATGCCTCAATACCAGAAAGACAAATAACCCGATTAAAAAATGGATGGAGGACTTGAACAGACATTTTCCCAAAGAAATTCAGATGGCCGACAGACACATGAGAAGATGGTTCCCATCGCTAGTCATCAGGGAAATGCAAATCAACACCACAACGAGGTGCCACCTCACACCAGTCAGGACGGCCACTATTCAAAACACAAGAAGTAACAAGTGCTGGCGAGGACGATGAGAAAAGGGGACCCTCCTACACTTGGGGTATGTATGGGATTGTAAACTGGGGGTGGGAATGCACACTGGTGCAGCCACTACAGAAAGCAGTATGGAGGTTCCCCAAATAACTAAAAATAGAAATACCATATGACCCAGTAACTGTACTTGTAGAATTTACCTGAAGAAAGCGAAATCTTTGATTTGTAAAGACAGATGCACCCCTATGTTTATCACAGCACTATTTACAATGGCCAAGATACAGAAGCAACCTAAGTGTCCATCAGTAGATGAATGGATAAAGAAGATGTGGTACATATACACAATGGAATATTATTCAGTCATAAAAAAGAAAGAAATCCTGCCATCTGTGACAACATGGATGGAGCTAGAGGGTATCACGCTCAGTGAAATAAGCCAGGTGGAGAAAGACAAATACCATATCATTTTACTTATTTGTGGAATCTAAATCAAAACAAAACAAAATGAACAAAACAGTAGTAGACTCACAGACACCGATAAGTGAATGGTGGTTATTATGGGGGAGGGGTTGGGTTGGGTTGGGTGGGTGGAGTGGTGAGGCAGATAATGAGGCACAAAATCTCAATCATAATGTAGTAAGTTGGTCTTGGGGATGGAAGTGCAGCAGAGAATATAGTCAATGGTTCTTTAACATCTTTCTGTGTTGACAGATAGTAACTGCACTTATTGGGGCGAGGATTTAGTAATGTGTGTAACTGTTGAGTCACTGTGTTGTATACTTGAAACCAATATAACATTGTATGTCAACTATACTTCAATAAAAAATAAACCCAAAAACTATTGGAACTTATATGCCTTTTCAGCAAGGCTGTAGGATTTAAGATCGGTATGAAAAATTACATTGCACTTCTTTACACTAGTACTGAACCATCCAAGAATTTAATTAAGGAAACAATTCCGTTCATTATGTCATCAAATAGAATAAAGCATCCAGGAATGAATTTAACAAAGAAGTACAACACTTGTATACTGAAAACTACCAAATACTGAAGGAAATTCAAGACCTAAATAAATGATAAGACATTTTATGATGTTCATGGATCAGATGCTGAATATGTTCAGATGGAAATATTCTGTAAAGTGATTTAAAGATTTAAATATAATCCCTATCAAAATCCTAACTGTCTTTCTTGCAGAAATTGACAGGATATTCCTAAAATTTACATGGAAATACAAGGGCTCTAGAGTAACCAAACAAAAAAATCTTGAAAAAGAACTTATATTTCATGATTTCAAAACTTACTTCAAACTTACAGTATGCAAGAATGTGAGTATCGATTAAGAATAGAAATACAGATGAACGGAAGAGAATTGAGGGTCTAGAAATAAACTCTTATATTTATGGTTAATCAATTTTTGAGAAGGTTGCCAAGACAATTCAGTGGGAAAATAGTAGTCTTTTCAACAAATGGTGCTAGAACAACTGCATATCCACATGTGAAAGAATTAAGTTGAACCTCTACCTCATACTATACACAAAAATTAATGCAAAATCTATCAGTTCTAAATTTAAGAACTACAAAACTCTTACAAGAAAACATAGGGTTTTCAACTTTGGGTTGGACAATGGTTTCTTAGATATGACATCTAAAGCATAAAGGAAAAAAGGAAAAATAAATAAATAGGAATTCATAAAAATTAAAAACTTTTGTGCTTCAAAGGACAACTTTAATTAAGTAAAAAGACAGCTGACAGTATGGGAAAAATATGTACGATTCATATATCTGATAAGAATTTTGTATTCTGAGGTTATAAATAACTTATAATAAAAAGA